CTCGGGCGGCCCGGTCAGCATCGGCCCGGCGGCGGCTCTGCAAGAGAGAAGGCGGTCAGCGGGGCCTGGCTCCGGCCTCCTCCCGCCCGCCCGCCAGCCCCGTGCCCGCCACGTGGCGAGCCCCGCCACCTGCCTGACCCTCGCGTCGCTCAGGGGCGATCCTGCCCCGGGCTGGCAGAGGAGAGGCCAGCGGCCCCCGGCATCCCCAGCCAGCTCGGGCTGCAGGGCTCCTCTCCGCCCAGCCAAGCCCAGGATGGCGCCCCAGGGGTCGCGGATGGTTGGGGCCCAGCCTTCGAAGAACCCCTTTCCCACACTAGCCTGCGAGCCCTCGGGGGTCACCACCGTCACCAAACGCAGCCGGGCTGCTGAACCGAAGGGAGGGGGCCTTTTCAGGGGTGGACCCACGGTTCTGGACGCAGCTTCCCCTGCGGTTCAGCAGGCCCTTTCTTTGGGGTCCTTTAGGGAAGCGCTGAAGCCCCTCCCTTTTCTCCGGCCTTGCCGTGATCTGGACTGCAGCTTCTATTGGCACGGGTTTGCTTTGCTAGCTTTACCGACCCCCTTGGTTGATGGTGCAGAATCCGGCAGCGCTCTCTCTTGCCCACCGGCTCAAGGGGGTTGTGGCTGGTCCAAACATCGTTTAAAGTAAACCAGCCGGCAGGGTGGCGGCAAGGAGACGGTGGGGCTTCCTAGCTTGAATTGTGGGGCAACCACAAGGGAGAAAAGAGGCAAGCAGGGAAGCTGGTGTGCGGCTGTCTTCCCGCCCCATCTCCAACCAGCGGAGGGATGGATGCACCGGCGCGGACCCGTGAGTGAGCTTGGAACTGAATCTGAGTGGCAAAGAAGCACCCCCGGGAAGCAGGGAAGAGGATGGAGGAAAGGCGCCTCATCTTGCACGGCTGGTGCTCCTCCTCCTTCCTGCTTGCTCATTTGTCTTTTAAACACAACAGGAAATGCCAGGGTGGAGCTGAAAGGGGCCCTCTGGCTTTGCAGGGAAAAAATTCTGAATATGTTGTGGGCCTAGGGAAGAGTGACCTTTGCCTTCTCTCCACCCCAAGATGCTCGAAAGTAGCTGCCAGTCATGGGTCGGGTTGACTGCCTTTAGGTGGAGTGGCAGAAGTCTTGCTTTCTCCAGGTTTTAAAGGACTGGGAGGATGAGGGGAGGGGAAAGGCCCTCTGCTGCCAGAAATCCTGGGGCTCTGCGCTCAATATGGGCCACGAGAACTAAGCTAGGCAGACAATGAACGTAAGAGAATAAATTAAATGCTTGGATGTGGTACGAGGTGGGTTCCTACAGGACGGGGCAGCCAGACCCTTTTCAGCCCAGGGTCTGCAAGAGAAGCCCTCAGGGCTGCGTTCCACTGGAGGAAGGAGCCGATGCCGGGGCGGGGGGCAATTCCAGCTGCTTTTAGCTTAAAGTGAGAAAACTTCCAAAAGGCTAGCAAGACCGCTCTGACCTGCACCGTGCTTTCTTGGCAACAGGGCCTCTGCCACATGCTGCAATCGCCTTTGCGTTGCATTTCTATCCCATCCTTGTTTAGCCCAGGGTGGCCTACACAGCTCCATATGATCCTCACAACAACAGCCCTGTGAGGTAGGCTGGCCGAGAGTGAGCGACTGGCCCAAAGTCACCCAGGGAGCTTCATGGCTGAGTGGGGACTCGAACCCACATCCCCCGGGTTCCCCGCCCCCATACCACGCTCTCTTTTGTTCCAGCTTTAACCTGCCCCACAATCCGTGTTCCCTGAACAGATGAAAACGCAACTCGCAATGACAAATGGCACAGGAATGGGTGGATATACCCTAAAAGCCTCGAACAAGATCTCTGAGGGAAAGGAAAGTCAGCCTGGGGGAACTCTTTGGGGAGTTCATCCCATAATGGGGTGACCCACACAACTATTTTCCCCCTTTTAAATCGTCTTTGCTGTTTTAGAACTGAAATCCCCCAGCGCTTTTAGGGAAACAGTGCTCCCTCTTAATCCTTCTGTTGGCGCTCTGCATCTTTTTGAGATGCGCAGCCTCCTCCTTGTGATGGGAATACCTGATCCTCGTATTCCTTCCGGGCATGATCGCATCGTCAACATACAGAAAGGCCCTGCCCGGAGCGGAAGCCTGCTGCTGGGCTGGGCTGGGGGTCCTAAATGCATCAGGGCCAGGTCGCCCCTCCCTTCTACCGAGCCGCTGGGAGGGGGCGTGAGCTCAGCCAGGCATGCGGCGGGGGGGGGGGGGGCTCCCGGGAGGCAGAATGAGGCGCCGGCGGAGGAGCTGCGGGACCCACGGCCGCCCCGCTCGGCTCAGCTGGCCTGCCGCCTTGCTGGCCGCTTTTCAGCACCACGGGCAGCTCCCGAAGCAGCGACGAGACGCTGCAAGGGACCGGGAGACCCTCAACCGGCATTTGGTGTCCGAGTGGCCCGTGGCAGGGCAGGGGGGCTTCATTAGTCCTGTGGAGCGGGGGGGGGAGTGTTAACCCTTTCTCTCCCTGCTGCCGCCTGATTCTTCCTGCCACCCCGCAGCGGCTTCATGGAGCACACAGAGAGGCGAGGACGGGGCCGGGCGGCTTGGCCCTGAGCCCTGGCTCTGTGTCCTTATCCTGGTTCAGACGTATCGGCGTGGCAGGCGGGCCTCGGCAGACTCTCGTTCCACGTGCAGGCTGGAAGTTGAGCAGGGCCAGCCTGGATGGGAGACTCGAGCCCGGGAGCCCGGTGGCCTCTCGTTCCACTCAGACGCTCCGGAAAGATCTGCTTGGAATCGTTGCCTGGGGTCTTTGTTGCCTGAATTATTTGGTGCTGTCTCCGGACTTCGTCCAGTCCGTGTTCACCGCAGCTAGAAGTCATGGCTTAATCTGGGGTCCCCATGCAGATCTCCTGCCTTCTCTGTAGGGCCAGCCCTGCTCTCTGCCTCATGGGGAACGGAAACCTACGTGGATGAGCCCCCCCCCCTTGAATACAGTGACTGTATGGCAGGGGATCAAGTTCATGCCCACCCCCCATGCCCACCCCCACCGAAGCCATGCTGATTATTCCTCATTTGGCTTATTCTTCTGCATATTGAACAACTCTGACTTCATCTGTTGCAAAAGGGCCAGAGAGTGTGGATGGCACAGAAACAAAATAAATAAATAGAATGAGTCAATGAAATGCAGCGCCCTCTGTTCCTCGCCAGGCCAGGTGTCATGCTAAGGGCTCTGCAATTCCTTTCTTCACCTTGCGTCTCGTTTTTAAAAATGGCATTACATTGGCTACCTTCCAGTTTTCCGGTGAGGAGGAAGGTTTTGTGCCAAGCTGCATATTCTTGCTAGAAAATCAACAATTTTGCATTTCAGTTCCTGACTCACTCTCAGACATTTGCAGTCAACACACTGAATTGGACCCCCAAAGCTAAACGCAAGTAATTAGTGACTTGTCTGGCAGGCCTATCTGGAGAGAAGGGGGGCAGTCACCCCTACGCCCCCCCCCCCGACTGCTTCACTGCACCAGCATATGGATGATAGTACTGAGCGAGTGCTCTGGTTTTGTTATTGTGGAAAAGCAACCTTGATTCCTGGTGCCTTTGCGAGGCAGATGCTGTTGCGACTGGCCCTGCTTTCCCACAATATTGCTAATCACCCCGTAGAACAAGCCAAAGAACGAAAGCCCCTTAATCCTAATCCCATTTCTATGCACAACTGCCGCCTGCCTTTCCAAAAAGAGGCTGGCTCTTATTCCAAGGCATTCTGTTGCTCCCGGTCCTTAACAGAACCCCCAAATGAGCAAAAAAGTCCAAATCAGCAGAAGGTGACTCTCCAGTCCAAAGGCAGCCAGCCATCCCAATCCCTCAGCAGCCCTGGCGGCGTTTGGCAATGGCTCGGACTCCGCTGGCCTCTAAGCGGAATGGCAAGCCGGTCGGGTGGGCTCCTCTTTCAGCCTTGCTCCACCTGGCGCCCTCTAGTGCAGTGCAGTGCAACTCTAATCAGCCCCAGCTGGCATGGGCAGTGGTTGGGGATGATGGGAATTGCAGTCCAACACATCTAGACATGGGAGAAGGCTGCCTGGAAGGGGATTCTATGAGGGATAGCAATGGTGTAATTTATGAAATTTTACTGTGTTGTTCTATGGCCTGAGGTAAACCAGCTAGAGAGCTTCAGCTATTCGGTGGTAAAGAAATGAAATTAGTAATAATAATGATGCATTGAGTCATGTGCTGCATATATAAATCATTTAGAGATGCTCCTCTGTTGAGCTGAATTCAAGTAAAAATAATAAAGACTTATATGTTGGTCATTGTTTCAACAAGCCAGTGGCTTCCATCATTTGTCAACGTGTGCACTTTGTGGAACCAAAGGGCCATGCAAACTCATTTGGTGTGGAACCCCTGTGTGTGCGTCTGCTAGAAACGCACCGGCCTGCCTCCATGTGCCTTTCATGACCCCTCCCTGCTCTTTGGCTGGCAAGGCGGCGGTGCAAACGGAGCAGGAAAGAGACCGACCAAGGAGGGGCAAGTCTCCTTGGCTTTGGTGCAACAGCTGAATCACCAGAGCTCTTTGGCTCCCCACTTCTCTCCAGGGAAAGCCTCAGTCTGAGCTGAAGCCAGAAATCATCCCCAGAACCTGCTTGCTGTGCCAGGACAGTCTGATGGGGCAGCGAGTGTGTCTGCAGCCCCCCTTGGCATTGTGGGTTCCCTCAATGAAGGGGGGGGCTTTCACTTCTCCCCTCCCCCAGTGATCCTGCTCGAGATCATTGCTCTTGCTGTGGGTTGCTGGGAGGGACATGGCTAACTCCCGCCCACCCCCCCGAATTCTTGTCTGGGCTCATCTCAAGGGGGAGAGGTGGCCATTCCCCGCCCCTGTTGATATGGATCAGCTGGAAGGTGTGGCGATGCGGGTGAGGCATGCTATGGGCTCTGGAGGCCACAATCCCTGGCAGAGGACTGCATGCAGGCTCCACGTTGCCCACACCTGTTGCAGGATATACCTGCTCAAACAAGGCACAGGGCCCAGAAGGCTCCGGCAGAAAGCAGAATGCTGACAGCATCCTTTCCAAACCACCCTTGGCTTCCAAGCGTCCCGCTCCCCAGAATGCAAGTGTGCACGGGGAATTGCCAGGAGATACAGCTAATTCGGCACAGCTCATCCTGCATTAAAAGGGGATTTTGTCCTCCACTGGAGGCAACAGCCCGAAGGCCCCCGCTGCTCGTCCCCGTCCGCTCCTCTGAGGCCGCGCAGAGTCAGTGCAGACCCTTGGCCCATCCAGTTGCACTGGCCAGTGGAGGCTCTCGGGGGGGTCCTCTGGGGGTCTTTTCCCGGCGCTGGGGGAGGGACTTGGGGCGTTTGGCTCACGGAGTGGGCGCTATGGTTACACTTTCTTCTCTGAGCACAGAAGGGCTAGATCTGGCCGGCAGAAAACAGCAGGTAAATGGGTTGTCATGGAAATCGTATTGAGCAGCAGCAGGCGGAGAGAGAACGTGGAAGGTGAATCATGGAGAGCAGCTTTCCGTCAGGCTGGTGGGGATGATGAGAGGTGTAGTCCAAGGCCTCGGGAAGGCAGCAGCTTGGGGCAGGCTGATCTGGCAAAATCTCTTCCTGCCTGTCTTACTCACGTTAAGACTGGTGCACATGTGCATATCTCTGTGTGAAGGCGCATATCTTGCTGATCCTGAGGCGTGTGCGCATGGAAAGTTCCTCTGTGTGCCCTGTGCATGGAGACATGTGGGAGCGCATGAGGTCCCTATCCATGGAGGCAGCTGCACACGTGGGATTTCTGGCAGGGGGAGCCTGGCAGGGGTGCAAGAAGGACACTACAGGCAAGACGAGTGTCGGGTCTCCAGCACTGCCCCTGTGACCGACGGATATCCGGACAAGCGGCCCTGCCTGGCATTCATGCATCAGTTTTCTAAATTGCTCAATAGCTCTCCAGGAGGTGTGCAAAGAGTGAAACCTTAAAGTACACTAGCAAAAACTAGCAAATACACATCTCTAGAAGCTGTTAAACTCCCCTGAGAAGAAAAATTAGACCCTGCTGCCAAATGCCTGCGAGAAGATCTTGGCCTGGTAACAGAAATTCAACAAAGTTGGGACCAGCTGCACCTCACCAGGGAGGCCCTCACCAGCGGGACGACCCCGAAAGGCCCTCTCCTGGAGCGCCACCTTCCCAGCCTGGAGAGGCGACTCAGCTGCAAGGGAGTCCCAGGTACCACAGCTGCTCCTTCGTGGGGAGTGTGGCCCTGCCCAAGCACCTCCCATCCGGCCACGGGAACCACCGCCAACAGCATCGCAGTCCTCTTTGGACTGGGCTCCCACGTGTTCGCCCCACTCCCGTCCTTTGCCACAGCCAGGAGCCTGTCGAGAAGCCCCACAGCCTCGCCTTCCGAAGAGGAACAGAAGACCTGGGGCTGCCTGTCATCCGCAAACTGACCGCAGCGCATCCCAAAGCCTGGATGGCGGCGCTCTGGGGTTTCGTGTAGATGCCAAATATTGAGCGTGGGGCTGGGGATTGAGCCCTGCAGACCCCCACGCGGGGGCATCCTCTGGCTGAGCACTATTCCCCAGGAACCACCTGCTGCAGCCGTCCGTGCAAGCAGGAGGAGAACCCCCCAGTGCAGGGCCTCCCCTCCCAGCTTGGACACGGTGCCAGAATGGTGCCCTTAGGGAGCGACATCAGGAGCCACTGAGAGATGCTGGAATATCAGCAGCATCTCACTCGCCGTCTTTCTCCTGATGAAGCTCATCACAGAGGTGGCCGGGACAGTTTCCCTGCCAAAGCCTGGCTTCCGCCCTGACTCAGTCTCACCCAAGAGAGCCCGGATTTGGTGGGCTGCCACCTGCTCAAGGGCCTTGCCCAGGAAAGGGGCATTTGCCACTGGGGCAAAGTTGCTGCACCCCTCTGTCAGGTGGTTTTCAGAAGGGCTTTGCTGCAGCCTCTGTCAGGTGCCTTGGGACCGTCCCTCTCGCAAGGAGCCATCGCGGACCCCCTGGCCCAGAGGGTCGCTCCCTCCCTGCCAGCTTTGATGAGCCAAGAGGGGCAGGGGTCTGATAATGAGCTGATTGCATGAATGTTCCGAAGCACCTTGTCAGTGTCCTCAAACTGTACCACCTGGACCTCACCCAGGACACCCGGACGCCACCACATTCACCTGCCTCAATACGGGAGTCTAAAGCCCTCCAGAAGCAAGAAATATTGGCCTAGAACTGCCTGCAGAAGATCTGAGACTGGGCCTCGGGAAGAGCCGCCAATGAGCCGCATGTCACAGGTGCAGGATGCCCTGAGCAGCCCATGAAGCAACACGCAGGTGATCGTGGTTGCCGCACAGGCCAGGGACCGACTGCATCAGCTGGGCGCTTCCCCGCGTCCCCCCTGCAGTTGCCTCGCATCTGGCTTTGCTGCTCTCG